AGTGCTTGATAGGAATTATAAAAAGGTATAAAATATTAAATCCAACACTGCTCACCCATTTCTAAAGTCCATTTTAACCTCGCATTGAAAATATTGACAGTGATCACAGCTTCTGAACTATGCGAGGAAACATAATCACACCTGTTTAAATGGTAAATGGACTGTATTTATATAGTGCCTTTCTATCTAATCAAGGCACTCAAAGCACTTTACAGTACAATCTGTGCCCTCATTTACCTCCATACACATTCATACAGCACTCTCTACATGCAACACTGTCTAAATAAAGGTTGAATGAATGAAAACTCTACTACATCTCTACAAAGTTAATCTGAATCTATAAAGCCTAATCAGTGCATGTTCATTCACCGATGGACACACATCAGAGGCAATGAGGGGTTCAATGTCTTGCCCAAGGACACTTCAGCATGTGACTGCTGGTGGAATTGAACCCCCAACGGTTCCACTCAGCTCTAACCACTCAGCCACAGCTGCTTCAAACAACAGCTACTGATGTCCTTCCTGTTGGCTTAACTAAGCATTACAGACATGAGTGAGCCAAGACGCATCATGCAGGAGACAATAAACTCAGATTTGAGTTGTTAAAACAAGACCTTATTTGCTGTGGTGTTAAACAGGCCACTCAGGAAGCCAGCACAAACTAAACAAGTAAATATTGACATGCTAACTTAAAGTGTAATGGGATTCTTCATAGTGCCACCAGCAGGGTTAATCTAGATTGGTTGTAACATTGCTTTAGTGGATTTTTCAGTGATTCCAGTAATGCCGTGATTTTTAAAGTGTTCCAGTTGCATTGTTTTCTCTTTGTGCTGCTTGAGACTGGACTAAAGACATTTTTTACAAAATAATTCACTTTTCTAATTCCCCCCAAAAATATATTTAAAGACTTCCACCTATGACGTTTGAGCTGTTTGACTTCATTCAAGTTCTTTGAAAATGTTTACCAAATATAGCAGAAAAGTATATGTCACACTTTTTGAGCCTCCCAAGTGTGGAAGCATGATATTAAGTGGAAGTTAGACATAGCTTCCTAAATGTTTACTGCCCCTTTGCAGTCTTATTTAGTTTCTATGTACAAAAAGTGGAAGTTTTTACTGTATAGTGACACTTATTACCATATTTATATAATTTGTTTATTGGGTTACTGCATGGCAGCACGGTGGCGCAACTGGTAGAGCTGCTGCCTCTCAGCGAGCAGGTCCCTGGTTCAAACCCCGGTCCAGGGGCCTTTCTGGGTGGAGTTTGCATGTTCTCTCCGTGCATGCGTGGGTTTTCTCCGGGTACTCCGGTTTCCTCCCACAGTCCAAAAACATGCATGTTAGGCTGATTGGTAACTCTAAATTGTCCCTAGGTGTGAGTGAGAGAGTGAATGTTTGTTTGTCTCGTTTGTCTCTATGTGGCCCTGTGATGGACTTGCGACCCGTCCAGGGTGTACCCCGCCCCTCGCACAGTGATTGCTGGACATGGGCACCAGCGACCCCCGTGACCCAAAATGGAATAAGCGGGTAAAGAAAATGGATGGATGGATGGATG